TGAAACTTCCTCTATTATGGCCTAGAACACTCCACCTTGCATCGTCTGCAGATGGTCAGAAATGCAGCAGCTCATTTGCTAACAGGTACAAGGAAACGTGATCATATAATTCTCGGGGCTTGCTTCTCTTCACTGGCTTCCCGTTCAGTATAGGATTCAATAAAAACTGGTGCCTTTGGTTTGTAAGTCTCTTATTGGCCTCGCTCCACCCTACATTGATGATTTACTCACCACCTACACTCCCACCAGTCGTTGTTAGTGGTCCCAAAAGCTCGTCTAAAGTCTTGTGGGGATAGAGTTTGTTCAGTGGCTGGGCTCTGGAACAGTCTGCCTCTAGAACTGAGGAACACTCAAAGCATGGAGCATCTTAAGTCAAAACTAAAATCTAATTTATTTGACTTGGATTTTAGTAATAGATGAGTTGCGTATCTATTCTCTTCTATCTGATTGTTGTAGTTTTTAATGCCTTACTTTTTAATTTGTTTTACTGGAGCGTGTTTGATTTCATGACATTGCTTTGTTCAGCACTTTGGGTTGCATGAGCAATAGTAAAGGTGCTATATATATAAAGTTGATGTGGTGGAGTTGTTAATGCTAGTGGTTAGCTTCTACCAGCCGAGACATTCTCTGCTCTCCTGGACCAACTAAACCAACAACAGCCTCCAACTAAACCAACAACAGCCTCCCCCGCCATGAGCAAAGATGGGTGAGTCATGAATGTTAAGTGGCAGTGTGACGTAGATCCGTCAGGATTTTCTGAACCAAGTGTTTACCGAGTGTGAACCTTCTGTTTTCAGAAGCTAATGCAGGGAATTGGGGTAGAAGTTTATTTTTACATTCAACCTGCAGTTAAACCCAGAGTGACTGATCATTTTCAAAAATGTGTATAAAAATGTTCCTGAGTGAACCCGCTCTTTAAGAGATAAAACAGTTTTGAAGTCAACACATCCTGGCAATTGTTTCAGAATAAAAGCCCATGAAGGTCAATTACTTCATTACTCACCTCTAAGAGAAATGGCTTTTTTCATTATTTTAGAATAACAAAAAAAAAAAATAACAAGGTGATAGTCACCACTCTCAGTTATTCACATGTAAAAGAGTTGAATGTAGTTGTATAAACAGATGTTCCCATCTGACCAAAGTCATCATCAATATTAAAGTATTCAGTTTTGCCTTGTGTGATCTTACATGTTTTTCTGGTGCAGTACACCTCTCAGAGAAAACTCCCCCTAGCTGAGGGATGTGGGTAAAGGACTGAGGCAAACACATAGTAAAGACTTGTGTTAAAGGTGTCACTTTTAATTCAGAAACTCTGTATTTCACCACTCCTGCGTGTGACTTATAACCTTGCCTGACTATCGTTAGCTAGCAGCCACAGCACGAGGCTCTGTCATCCCATTTCCACATGTCACTGTGCATTGTGTTATGTTACCGCATACAGTAAGTGATATGTCTCTGCTCCAATGTCACTTTCACTTGGCAAGTGAAGTCTTGCTCTGACAGATTTGTTGTTTAGCGCTCAGAAGGGTGCACCACTGGAGAGACATCAAAGAGTGAAGAATCACTACCTGCAATTTCAGCCCCCAAATTTGATCATAGAAAGTAAAACAGGTTATAGAACATGTTAGTAATTTAAATACAGTCTACCTACCCATCCATCCACCCATCCACCCATCCATCCATCCATCCATCCATCCAATGTTCGAAATCAAAATCTCAGGAAAAACAGAACAAGGTTTCTGAAGTTTGTACTATTTATTTTCTTTTGTTTTGTTCAGTTTTTCTTATTTTATTTAACACCCAGGAATATATGTAAGTATTCATATTGTCATGTCCAAGTCCTGTTTATAAGTAAGGGATGGATGAAGCTGGAGCTCAACAGACTGTGTAGGATTTCCTGAAAAAGCGACAATGTACATCCTATGTAGTGAACAACACAATATATATATTTTTCCTGACTTTCCTTTTTTTTAACTATTGTATAAAATTGTGACACACATCTTTGTAAGAGTCAAATATAAGGCAAGACCCCAGCAGTAGTTGATGTTTCCAGCTATTTCATCAGTAAAACAGTGAAGACAGAAGTTTCAAAGTCAAACTCTAGAATTCATTGATATGCAACAATGAAATCTTTGCAACAAAAAATGAACATGTCTTCATCCTCTTTTAGTGTGTAGTTGTTCTCCTTTTCATCATCCATCCTTCTTTCCATCTCATTTTGACTGGCTGGCCATTACTCGTGATCAAATATATCTTCACTCTTCCTTCAAACTCTTTGGATCCATCTTGATCTCTTTGTTTTTCTTTATTTATTTTCCTCTCATAATTTTTCCCGTCTGTCTCACAGAGTTTGACTCTGCCTCTGTTTTGGGTTGGTTTTCACTCCTCTTTATTTACAAGTTAGAAGTGAAGAATCACATGCTGTCCTTGGGTTTTATTTTTTACTATGACACAGACACATGTCCAAATAAAGCATAAACACATCATTGCCAACCCAGTTAAAAAACAAACAAACATCCATACTAAAGAAAAGCACAGCACAATACCTGACAACTGTTTTGACAGGTGGAGCCAATGTCTTTGAAAAGTAGCTGACTAAAGTGACAATCTGTCTTTTTTGGTTTTTCAAAGTAAAAACCATTCCTGTCATGTTGATGACTTAATTTAATCTGAGCCAAATAAATAAATAAATAAATAAATAAACTGAAAAAGTTGGTGTGATCCTATAAAATTTGTATCAGAGCTGTATAAATTATAATGTTACCCATTTAATAGATTTTTATGTTTCAATCAATGTTATATCACTATAGCCCCATTCCCACCTGTACCGGGTCGGCCCAGGCCGGGCAGCGTTGGTTGTTTACATATCTGGGTGGCCTGGAATTTTCCCAGGCCAACCAAGGCTCATTCTCGGCCCTCTTCCCGAGGGGTACTGCTTCAGGCTGACCTGGCCCAACACGCCCACTGTCCACCGATTGGTCAAGTCATGTGTTACCCTCCCCTTCAATAACATCTTCTGATTGGCCCTGCGTTGTTATTTATAGTGATGTCACAGAATCGCGCCGTAACTCAAACCTCCAAACTCACCAGCGTTGACATGATGGCTTCTCCCTGCTCCCAGACCTCATCTCCTAACCCCTGGAGCAATGAAGAGGTTAAAACCTTCCTCTCTTTGCTCAGCGACGAGAGAATCCAGCGCGAACTGGACGGCACGGTGCGTAATGAAAAGATCTTTCAGGGGCTTGCACTGGCGATGTTCACCCACGGCTTTGAACGCACCTCGAAGCAGTGCCGAGAAAAATAAAAAAGCTCAAGGCTGAGTACAGGTCCGTCAAGGACCACAACAGCAGGAGTGGAGCAGACAGGCGGCAGTGGAAGAGGTTTGCTGAAATGGACGCCATTTATGGTGAGAGGCCTGTGAGTAATGGCCGCGAGAGTGGCGTGGACACAGCCACTCCAGCTAACACTGGACCTCAGGACAATGGTGAGTGAGCACTTATCATAATAAGTAATAATATGACCTCCGTTTGTGCTATACTGTACTATAGTGCGGACGAAATGCTGTGCTAGCTTTGGGTAGCACTGATGTGCGACATAACAACAACAGGCTAGGCTAACTCCAGGCTAGTTGTGGCATGCCTAGTAGCCTAGCTTGCCCATTAACTGCTTCGGTCAGTACTTGTGTTTGTGCATATTAAGTAACTGTTTTCTCATTATAAAAGATACAACTCTGGAAATGTGTGCCGATGGGAGCCAGGACGTGCCCGACACCGGGGACATGGACGCTGGGCCCTCATCTGCCGACAGCGGGCGTAGCTGCAGCCCGAGCGTCTCAGCGCCGTCGGTGGGCAGCAGACCACGCTACGGTGAGTTCATTTGCAACAACAACATCAAAATATGACAAGCACGTGTACATATACATCTTCTTGGCGTTTATTCAGGAAAAAGGAAGCGGGGGAGCACCAGCGTGTCCCCATTGTTGGAGACGCTGGTGGAGAGTGACGCGGGGTTCCTGGAGACTACAAGGAGGATGAACAGCTTAATGGAGCAGCAAATGGAGGCAGATGCGGAGGACAGACGCCTGGACAGGGAGGAGAGACGAGAGGAGAGGATGGCACAGCAGCAATTCAACGACTCCTTTTTGGATGTGCTGCGCAGTTTGGTGTCTGCTGTTGAGAAATCAACCAAATGACCTGATTTTCTTTTATTTTGTTAGATGTGCAATAAAGTGTTTGACAATGCAACGTGTAATCCATCATCCATCATTGTTCTGTTCTCTGAATGTGAAGTGGAAAGGTCCAATCATGGTTCCAATATAAAACTGTGTGCTAAAATAGCATACACCAGCCTTGGGTATTTGCTTTATTCATCTCAGATTTATATAGGAATAAATACCAGGTAGGTGTCAGTGTAGACAAGATCATATTATGTCAGCAGGAGTGTAGAGCAGGATCAGAAGCTCAAATGTGCCCCCCACACTTGGCTATTAAGAACTTTTGTCAGGCAATGTAGAGTCAAAATATTTACCTGCACTTGCTATAACGACTTGAGTCATATGGCTAAGCCTTGGATGTGCATAAAACAATTGCTTAAGTCAAATTTATCTAGCTGATCTGCATTCATTTGAACATGATGTCCATATAATTTATTTGGATTTAAGAGTATTTCCTTTATTTGTCAGCAGGCGTGTTTAGAAGTCCCAGAAGCTCAAATGTGTACAGTCCACACTTGACTTAATACAAACTCATGAAATATATTTGCTCATGTTTACAATGTTTAGGTGGTGGTGCATTAAAAAGTTCAAGGGTCAAACATTAGCTGCGTGGAGAAAACTTTATTTGGGCAAAACATTCAGTCAAATGAAATTAAATCACTGCTGCCCCACAAGGTGCATCATCAGAGCATCACGCTTTGCTCTCCCTCCCACATCTCCTGTGTTTTGTGGCGGTGGGGGTGCAGCCACAGGTTCAGGGTATTCTGTTTCAGTTGTCCACACATTGTCAATGCTCGCCGTGGCTCTCACACAGATTATGCAGGGCACAGCAGGTCAGAATCATGGAACGCACCAGACTGACATCACAGTCATTCCTTTTCAGCAGGCAACACCACCTTCCCTTCAGCCTACCAAAGGCATTTTCAACCACCACACGTGCCCGGCTGAACTTCTTGTTATAAAGAAGTTGCTGCTCTGTCAGTCGCCCAGTGTCTGTGAAGGGTTTCAGCAGCCAGTCTTGCAGCGGGTAAGCAGAGTCACCCAGGATGCAGTATCCAAAGTCAACGCCAGCAATTTGGATGGAATGGTCAGGGAAGAGATTTCCACGGCTTGCCAAATCCCAGATGGAGGACAGTCTCAGGACCCTCGCGTCGTGCATGCTCCCTGGAAGCCCTGCAAAAACGTTCCAAAACAGTCCCTTTCCATCAACCACAGCTTGCAAGATGAGTGAGTGCCACCCTTTCCGGTTGAAATAGTCTGTGTGAAAGTTTCTGGGTGCTATGATGGGGATGTGTGAACCATCAATAGCACCCACACACTGTGGCAACCCCCACCTGCTCTCAAAATAGGACGCTATCTCCCGAAATTTACCCTCATCGGGTAAATGAATCAGTTCTACCAACAGGAATGCTTCTGCAGCAGCACAAAAGTCCTTCACACACTTGGCAACAGTTGAGATGCCAACACCAAACAGAACACTGATGGGTCTGTAATCTGAACCTGTAGCAAATTTCCACAAAGCAATAGCCACAATCTTCCTCAGAGGCACACACTCACAGAAGAAAGTGTCTTTTCGCTGCAATGCTGGCCGCAGTTTGTTGCACAGGAACATGAACGTCTCCTCAGACATTCTGAAGTGCTGCAACCACTGCGCTTCCGTGTAACAAGGCACGTAATTATCCCACCAGTCAGAAGATCGGTTGAGTGACCAGATTGCGCGTCTGCGGCTGGAGCCTTCCAAAATAGCCATCTAAAGAAATTAAACGTTTCAGATTACTCTATAAACTGGTTAAAATCCACAGTTCTACCAATTAATTTCTCATTTGTCAATTTGCTTAATACACAATTGGAGTCAGGGAATATCACATACCTGGGAATTAATGTCTCTCCCAAGTTAGCAGATCGAACCAAACTAAACTACATCCCACTTTTAAGGAAAGTGGAAGATGATCTTGCAAGATGGAAATCCTTACCAATATCACTCATGGGGAAAGTTGCTACAATGAAAATGATGGTCTTACCCAGAATAAATTACTTATTCTCAATGATCCCAAACAAACCTCCAGCTGACTGGTTTAAATCTCTGGACTCCTCAATTACTAAATTCCTTTGGCAGGATAAACCTCCACGAATTAGCTTAAAAACGCTTCAGAAGACCAAAGACAGAGGAGGACTGGATTTACCCAACTTTTATTATTATTTCTTAGCCAACAGGCTGCAATATATACCAAGATGGTTGCAAGATAACCCATTAGATGAGTCCTGGTTAGATATAGAACAGACACTTTGCAATACGATAGAGCTTTCAGACTTACCATTTATTAGCTCAAGCATAAGAAAACATGAAGGCTTCAAAAGAATTAGTATCAGCACCTCTCTGACAGCATGGTGGGAGTATCTTAAAATGACAGAGTCTTCACTAGTACCATGCAGACGCACACCTATCTGGAACAATCCTGTCATTTTGCAAAACAACAAAATGATGAACCTTCCGGACTGGAAAAATAAAGGAATCCTATACCTGGAACACATATATGAAGGATTGGACTTCATCCCATTTAATCAAACAGTCTCCCAATTTGGAATGGATAAGAATAGCTTTTTAGAATATCACCAAATTAAATCTGTAGTCAAACAAAAATTTAAGCTCAATAAAATAGAATTACAAACACCACCAAGGGTATTAGACTTCTATAATCTCAACCCCCCAAACTACTGTCTAAAGAATATAAGACACTGTCCAAAATAGACAATAAAATTGCAATCCCTATTGAAAAATGGGAGGTGGATCTATCAGTTAGCTTTGACCAGAACTTCTGGTCCCAAACTTGTTTAAAAACTTTTAAAATAATCAGACACCCCACTTTACAATTAATTCAGTACAAAATTCTACACAGAGTACACTATACAGGTCATCGGATGATCAGGATGGGGTTTGTGTCGTCTGACACCTGTACACACTGCACAAACAACATTCCTGACAATTACATTCATGCACTGTGGTCCTGCCCACCTGTCCAGGAATTTTGGGGTAGAGTATGTGAGGATCTGTCAAAATGTCTGAAATGTCATATCCCAACTTCCCCCTCTCTTCGTTTACTGGGAAACCTGGACGATGTCCCGATTGCAACATCTTTGGTTCACGTGGTTCTGACTGCCATATGCATCGCTAAGAAAACTATCCTCTTGAATTGGGAAAATAGAGAAAGTCTCTGCATTAACCAGTAATAGAAATCTTTTGTTAGATCATATTACACTTGATATAGCCTCTGCTTCCACTTCAGATGAATCTCTCTGGGCTCCTTTGATCGGTTCCATCACATAGCGAGGGTGGGGGGCCATTGATGTTGTCCTGCGGGATGGTGTGGGTGGGGGGGTGTGGGGTCTGAGTTTGGAGTATCCGGATGTTCCCTGGAGGTGGGTTCACTGGGGGTGTCTGGGACTGGGGGGCCGTTGCCCCCCTCTGGAGGTGCTTGGGTTGCCTCCGGGGGTGGACTACTGGCGGTTGTGAGTGGGGCCCCTTGGGGATCTTGGCGGCGGCCATGGGTGCAATGCCCCTGGGCGGGTCTGGGTGGTGGCCTGGGGGCTCGGGGTTTGGGGGTGGCCGGCCCTGTGTGGGGATCTGGGCGGGGCCTTGGGGGTCGGGTCCTGACATGTATGCTGCCGGGAAGAAGGCAGGGACACCCAGCAGTGCCTGGCCCGGGTTCGGGGGCCTCAGGTAGACCTTGGCTCCTCTGCCGTTCCATCACAGGGGAGGGGGAGGTCCAGGAGGGGGAGGACCCAAACTTACCTGGATGTCCCATGTCTTATATATTCTGGAAGTTGTGCAAATGCAGGGGTGGGCATAGATATTCTGCTGGGGTGGGGCTGGGTTGGTGCCCTCGGACTCCGTGAGGCTCTGTAATGCTGCTGCTTTGGGCCCTGGCAGGATGGGCTGGGGTCTCCATGCCCTGGGTGGCAGTTTGACAACAGAGGTGCCTATTGGGGCCAGTAGGGGAGCTGGCTCCCTGGAGGGCTAAGCCCAACCAGCCATTCCTCCCCATCCCCGCATATTTCTCTCCTCCTGCTCCCTCACATCATCACACAAACATACACATAGGACCTTGGGGGGTAGGCAAGTCAGGGAGTGCGGGTATGGACCCCATTTCCGCATTCCTGTGGAAACCTGCCCCCCAATTTTATTTGCACCTTATACACTTCCACTGATGACATTCCACACAAACACACACTTAGGGCCTTGGGAGTGAGCACATTCAACGGCATTTGGCAGGGGGATATTTCAGCCTCCTCCCGAGTGCCGGTGCCCACTTCCAATTTTAAACCGCACTTAGACACTGATGGCTGAGGGTGTAAGTGGGGTGGTGCAGTGGCATCAGCTGGCATATGCTGGATGATGCCCGCACTGCCCACTCACCACAGCCATGGAATACACCTCATGATCACACAACACTATATTGGAGCAGGCGGAGGGAGACTAGGGGTCTTAGCCACCTCTGTTGTTGCTAGGCTTCCTGGGGCTGGAGGCTAGGAGGGAGATCTGGCCGTCTGGGGTGGTGGGTTGCTGTGCTCAGCGTTGGGCGGGGGAGCCTGCTCATCAGCACCCCAGCAGAAAGGGTCAAACTCTGGTTACCGGCGATGGTTGTACCCAATGTGCAGCAGTACCGGGACCAGAGTGAATAGGGTGTGTATGGGGAGCATGAGTGGGTGTCCGGCGTGCATTTTTGTAAGTCTTGGGTTGTATGTGCATGTGTGAGCATGAGGGAGGGAGCGTGTGACTGTGTTTGTGTATGACTGTATATGTCAGGTGGGGCCTTTGGGTCCTCCCCTCTCCTGAAACTTCTCTTGATGATATAGATCTCTGTCCCCCCTCCCCCTGCCACACCTGGTGTGAGGGGTTGTGCCTTGGTCTGCCTGAGTGTTCGTGGCAACCGGGTCTGGGGGTTTAAGATTTTGGCATCTGCCTGTTAGATCCCGGTGGCTGCCTGGTGGGGTCTGGGTCCCTGGGCTCTGCTGGGTCCCCGGCGGGGGTGGTCGCCCCTGGGTCCCGGGTCGCTGGGTCCCGGGCTCGGCCGGCTAGGGGGTGGGAAGCTGCGGGCGGGCCTGTGGGATTGCCGCTGATATGTCCAGGGACTCTGCCGGCTGCTGGTTGTGGCCCCCCGGGGCGATCCTCTGTGCCTCTCGAGGGGGGCGGGGGCCTTCCTGGTTGCAGTCTCCTTGGGGTTCCTGCGTTCTGGGGCAGCGCCTGGATCTCTGGGACTTGGAGCTCCCCCCGTCTCCTGCGCATCTTTGGGGGGCGGATCTGTGGTCCCTCACACTCTCTGTTGGGCGCTCCTATAGAAAAACCTTAAATAAACAAGCGCGTGTACACACACAGGTGCTCACATGGTGCTCTCAAAAGTATGGGCTTGGGCACGTTAAACACAGGTCTTAAGACTATGGTGGGCACTTAATGCGTTGTGATTTATCATCGTGATTCTTCAGTTAAGCAATGTTGATTATATATATATATATATATATATATATATATATATATATATATATATATATATATATTTTCTTTTCATCAAGTTGACGCAGTGATAGGTAGATCTTGTTGTATTGTTGTTGTGTCCCTGTTTTTGTGTCCCTTTGTTTTTTTTTTGTCTTTTTTTCTGCAGGTCTAGAAGCAGACTCTTGTTCATTTTTGTTTATTTTTGTGGAACCCCCCCCACCTTTTCTTTTCCTTTCTCTTTCACCTCTGTCTCCGTGTCTGGTCGGAATTACAAAGCATTCAACAACAATAACAATAAAGTTTTAAGTATCAGGCGTGACATTAAAAGCAAACGCTTTGATGCTCCACCTGAGAATAAATCTGTAAGGCTTGTCACCAGCATTCAGACATCAATTCTGCTTGCTTCACAGCCAGACAGGACACGGTAAAGAAAAAAAAAAAAAAGATGTTGTAGCAACGGTTCTTTGTATCTGAGAGAAATTGTGAAATCTGGGTGTAAAATATTTTGTTTTTTGGTTCTAAACTAGAATGTTGTTTATAAAAAACATTATCAGACGCAATCTGTCATGCCAAGTCTATGCATCCTTGTGTTGGGGTTATCTGGGTAGCGAACAATTAGTAAGCTTTAACTTACTTTTGGATTCTTAAATAAATTCTGTAAATATGAGAATATTTACTGATTAATTAATTAATTAAGATATTCTTAGATATCTCCGGGGCACCACCCCGTTCTACCGGGGAAAAATTGAATCCAAAACTCTTATCAGTCTTTCTTGAAGTTCGTAGAATCCTTGGAGCAGAGACTTCGCTTCGACACAACAAAGCTACTGGAGACAAAAATCTGAATTTTATAACATTTAATTAAACAATTTGTCAAATGAATAAACAATGAAATAAATGAATAATAACCATGTGATATAATAAAAGGAGTGGTGTGTGTGTGCGTGTGTATGGATTCAAAATGGAGTCTTGAATACAAGATGGCTGACCCCTTTGTCTGGCTAAAGTGTGGGTGGCAACTTGCACTTTAACTTCCAAAGCACTTAGAATCAGAAGTAACTTAACCTTAAAATCACTCAAAATACTTCAAAATGATCATGAAGCTTCACCAAAGATTAATCACGAATTAATATCTGATAAGTTTGTCAACTTGGCCACAGCTAACAGACACAACCCAGATATTTAAACAATGATCAATAAGCAGTTTATTCTTTATCAAAAATGACCCGACGGACGTATTTGGGAACGAAAGAGGAAAACACGAAGCTACTTTTAAGCAATAGCGCGGTTTTATTGCTTATTCTGGACTATAGAGGAAACAGGAGAAGAAAAGAAAGAGAGAGAGAGAGAGTTTTCTGATCACCACAACAGCAAGGCGTCCCCCGCTGTTTGATTTGATGGTTCTCCGTGTTTCTCCGCAGTTTTCGGCGTCGTCCGTCGGTTTGATGCTTTCTCCGTTGTTTCCCTCCACGAGTGTTTCTCCACGGGCTGGACAGAGACAGCAAAGTTTCTTTCTGTGCTAAGTTATAACTTACAGCGTGCTTGATGGAGCTGGAGTTGCTTTTTGGGTTTCCAAGTCCTGCTTTCAGCGGTTCTGAGTCCGATCTGCTCCAGCAGTCAGCCTACCGCTGGCTCACGTTGATCAGAGCAGCAGCAACAGCGTGTCCTTCACAGCCAGTGAACTGGGCAAAAGAACGGAGTTCTTTGTCTTTGTTAATGATTTGTAGCTGTCTGAACTCGCGGGAAAGCTCCATGGGCTCCCGCACATGCGCAGAACGTGTTTCTGGTATTAGGCGGTGACGTCATCACAATGCTTCCGTGTGCAAAGCATCATGGGAAATGAAGTTTCTTGGCGCTGATGTGATTATTTGCTTTTCAGAGCAATTTTAGCACAGTCTTTTGGAGAAAATTACTGCAGCAATTTCTCACGAGGGCATACCCTCAACACTTGGTGTGGAGGTTCTCGTTCGATCCGGGTGGTCGATGGTCACTGCCGGTGGAGTGAACCTCTGATATCAGGAACCCGTAGACCACATATGTCAGAGTCAAGGCCCGCGGGCCAGATGCGGCCCGCGGAGCATTTTTATGTGGCCCGCGAGATAAATAACAAAAATATATTAAAACTGGCCCGCTGGCCGATTTTACCGCAAAGACTTCAACTCCCATGATGCTTTGCGGCGTCAGCGCGGAGCCGACGAAGCCCCCTCCTTTGTGTTTTTTCAGCGCCTGCTGCCGGTCTCTGCAGCTCCGCTGTCTCGGACAAACTACACTCCTCTCACTCAGCGCCGAGTTCACTCAGCTATTTTCTGACGATGAAGTCCAGAAACGGAGATTCTAGCTGCTCAGTAATGTTTTCACGACTGAAAGAGAAAGTTTTCCAACTAACGTCCAGACAGAGCCGATATAACTCCAGAGAACAGCGACACGCTCAAACCAGCATGACTCTGTGGTTGTGTTTCCTCCCCAACACACAACAACGTGGTCAAGCTGCTCAGACATGTTCAGCAGCACAAACCTATGTGAGCACCTGTTGTCATCTAATGTTGTCATTATTATGATGAAGATGAATAAAACAACAGGAGTCTCCTCCTCAGCTCAGATCAACCCCATGATGCAGGTATCTGGCTGGAACAGGTGAGCATCACAGTAAACCAGTGGAACAAACTGAGCTTTAAATATGTTGGTTTTATGCTCTTTTTCTGCTCCAAAACATGAAAGTTAACAGGTGAGATGTTGCATTTTCATAGAAAATCCCTTTATTGTTCCTCAGTGGGGAAAGCTAGATGTCACGGCAGTGATGACACTTATTACAGGAGAAAAAAGGAGAATAAAAAATAAGAAAAATGAATAAACAAGAAAACGTAAATCCTGAATAGATTTTAAAAATGCTGATTATACCACAAGTAATGAATACCACTGATGCGTTTTATTTAAAACTGACTTGCTCGTGTGTAATTTGGATATTCCACATTCAGTGTTAATGCAGAAATAAGTCTGTTTCCAAATTTAAAGGTTCAAAATTGCATATATGTTCATAAAGAAAATGTACAAATTTGCCGTCACTTTTTCAAAAATATTAAGTTTGGCCCTCGACTCCGTCCCAGAGTTTCATTTCGGCCCCGTGGGAGTTTGAGTTTGACACCCCTGCCGTAGACCGTTCCGATGGGACCCGTCCAGTCTGAGATCCCTTGAGGTGAAGGCAGGAAGCTGGAATTATTGTTTGCATCTAAGGTTGATGTTTGTTTGTTTCTTAGAAGAGCCGGTTGTCTGGTATCAGCCGCAACATTGCAGAGAGGCTTTGACATGAGATCAAAGGAGTTTGTTTCAAAAGAGGCTTCTTTCCCGATTTGGCCGAATCGGGGTCAGCTGGAAACTGAATGAATCGGGAGGTAATTCTTGTTTTAGTAAACTACTTTGTTATGATTTCTGGCCAAGTTTGGTCAATCAGAATTTGACCCGTTTCTGAGTATTTACCAACATCCCTCAGAAAGCCACACCCTCCTCAGATACAAATATTTCTTAACACTTTTAATAAGAATCTTTAAAACACTTATGTGAGGTGCAAATTATGTGAGGGCAGATAACCAGTCAGTATCTGCTGTGTCCACCATTTGCCTCATGCAGAGCAACACATCTCCATAAGATAGAGCTGATCAGCTTGTTGATTGTGGCCTGTGGAATGTTGGTCCACTCTTCAATAGCTGTGCGAATTTGCTGAATATTGGCAAGAACTGGAACACGCTGTCGTATACGCTGATCCAGAGCATTCCAAACATGCTCAGTGGGTGACATGTCTGTTGAGTATGCTGACCATGCAAAAACTGGGATGTTTTTAGCTTCCAGGAGTTTTGTACAGTTCCTTGCAATATGGGATCATGTGTTATCATGCTGCAACATGAGGTGATGGTCGTGGATGAATGGCACAACAATGGGCCTCAGGATCTCGTCACGTTACCTCTGTGCATTCAAAATACCATCAATAAAAAGCACCTGTGTTCATTGTCCATAACATATGCCTGCCTGTACCAGTACCCCACCGCCACCATGGGCCCCTTGTTCCACAATGCTGACATCAGCAAACCACTCACCCACACAACTCCACACACTCAGTTTGCCATCTGCCCTGAACAGTGAAAACCGGGACTCATCTGTAAACAAAATGTCTCTCCAATGTGCCAAATGCCATCTAATGTGTATGTTTGCCCACTCAAGTCGGTTACGACGACGGACTGCAGTCAGGTCCAGACCCCGATGAGGAAGACGAGTATGCAGATGAGCTTCCCTGAGATGGTTTCTGACAGTTTGTGCAAAAATTTTCTGGTTATGCAAACCGTCTGTTGCTGCAGATCTCCGGATGACTGGTCTGAGGTGACTCATGAGGTGAACATGCTAGATGTGAAGGTCCTAGGCTGGTGTTGTCACACATGGTCTGCTGTTATAAGTCTGGTTGGATGCACTGCCAAATTCTCTGAAACACCTTAGGAGACGCCTTATGGTCGAGAAATGAACATTCATTAAAACAGCGCTGGTAGACTTTCCTGCAGTCAGCAAGTTAATTGCACACTCCCTCAAAGGTTACGACATCTGTGGCATTGTGCTGTTTGATCAAACTGCACATTTCAGGGTGGCCTTTTATTGTGGGCAGTCTAAGGCACACCTTTACATTGTTCATGCTGTCTAATCAGCCCCTTAATATGCCACACCTGTGGGGGTGGTGGAGGTGGGAGGGATCATCTTGGTAAAAGAAAAGAGCTCACTAACAGACATGTAGACAAATTTCAACAATATTTGAGAGTCATGGGTGTTTTGTGCTTGTAGAACAAGTTTCAGATGTTTGAGTTCAGCTCATGAAAAATGGGAGCAAAAACAAAAGTGTTGCCTTTATATTTTTGTTCAGTGTAGTTTGCCATGGGAAAGATTAATGGGGCAATGACGCTCATAAGTTTTTTGGACACTCAAATTTCACCACCACAAGAAGGTGGTTCAAAGAGGAGCAAAAGAAGGGAAATAGAAATTAACTTCCCACATTTATTTCCTTTAAAATCGAAATCATTTAGCCTGTGGAAGCATTTCAATATAGTCTCATGAAAGCTTATTACTTTTGGATTATTTCTTTTATTGGGAAGTCATGTTTTATGGTGTATCTAAATCTGTAGGTTCAGACAGCAACATTACCATTACATCATGTGATTACACTGATGAACGCACTACCAACCAGGCAGGATAAGCCAATCATCAGCTCCTTGTATACAGGACTGGAATTGATATTCTGTGTAGAAACACCTCCATAGCTGCAGTCTTCCATCCTTATGTAAATTCGAAATCCAAATAAATTTTTTTATGAGAATGAAGTGGTGTGTTTTCAAAGATCTTTCAAGGATGTAAATATCTTCCAGGATGTCTCCCGGCTTATGAAACACAGTAAAAAAGACCCCCTTCCAGTCATCACAGCTTATCCTCCTGTTACCTGTGTTGCCCCTGGATACGGGAGCAGTCTCTTTTCTTCTCTAACCATCATGTTGCGTTTTGTATTCCAGACACACACTCGTATATGTGCACGATTGTGCGCTGGTCAAAGACGTACATACACAGAAAAGGAACACAGACATACATCTTTGTCAAACAAATAAATTCACAAATGCAAAAAGTAAGACACATAAAGTCATAAACACAGGAACAATGGTAATCGTTTAACCCCCTGGAGGCAGGCGTTGCAGATTTGCAACGTTCAAACCTACCTACCTGGTTACTCCACATACGTATTTCATGAGCATTTTTAAACTCAGAAGTACCCCTGAAGGACTTAGTTGTTCTTCCTTGTATCAAAACTTATTTTGAGCCTGAGAGGGTTAAGGCATCCCAGCTGTGGTAGATATGGGCAGAAAGTATTTCAGTTCATTTGCACACGATCTTTTAGCAAAAATAATTTTCTGTTTAAATTTGGTTTAAAAGAGAATTTTTAACCACGTCAACTGAATTTCAGTGTTGTAGGAAAACACAAAAACATGTATTAATACTTAAAGGTGCAGTATGTAAGAATAAAGTGAGAATTTTACACTGAGAAAATCCCAAATGAGTTTAGATTTTTAGCCATTTTGAAAGGAAGGTTACACTAAACATATTTCACACCCAGCTGGCTGTGGGGATTGTCAGATTTTCTCCTTTGAAAACAAAGAAAGGAGGGACGTAACGACTGTTTACCGCCAGTGAGTGTGGGGTTGCCGTGTCTCCTGCGAGCTAATACTGCAGTGCTGATAATTTTAATTTGACGACAACCGATAAAAAGCTCCAGAGTTGTTTAAAGTGGGTGCAGTAAACACATGTTTACTTCATTTCTTTCAAAATGCACCTTCAAAAATGTCACCAATGAATGAAAGTAAAGTTAAAGATTATCAAACATTCAAATTCAACATTTACACAGCGATGTACAAAAATACATATGGTGGAGATTTGGATTCAAATCAAACTGTTTTTAAAAAAAGTTAAATAAATGTATTGTGCAGCACTATTAAATAAAATACAACTATGCCAGAACAAAAAAGAGTTTATCTCTGGTCTTCATGCAATTATTTTTTACTTTTCAAATCTTAAAAGAAACCAATGGTTTTTGCTGTTAGCCTCAGTGGCTGACCCATTTCATGACCAATTTGTTTTCTAATGTACTGCAGATGGTATTTATTATATTATTTGTTCTTTCAAATTAATCTTCTGCAAATCTACATCTACTTTTAGGCTTTTAACACAATGCAAAAAA